TAGAGGGAGCTGGTGTAGTGCCAGGCATCCCGTGAAGGTCACCATCACCTTCGCTTGTTGTCCTTCAGCATTGGTACAAGTTTTATGGCATCATTTTACACTTATTCACTATCAATGTCATGCTGATTAGAATATCATGTTCAGTCACTGAAAAATATAGGTAATGAAAACAATGGATATTAAGTACAGTACTGCATGTCATATTCAAATAGTTCAGAAAAGTCGTGATTTGAAAGGATTGTCACTCAAAATGGGTCAACTAAAGAGTAATAAAAGTTAATTTTGAGAAGCTAGATGAAAGTTGATACAAAAATGAAAGGTTATATATTTTATCTAAAGATTGCATTGGTCACTTGTCTCGTGGATTGCCTGTTAATAAATTACGAAGTTAAACATCTGTATTAAAGTGTTTCTAATAAGATTTTTCTGTACTAGATTAAGTTGACATATAACTGTTAATGAAGGTTTACTTACCAAAGCTATTAGTGGCTGTGAGGTAAGCCAGCTTTTTTTCTACTCTCAATTCTCACATCAATTACCTTATTACCCAAAGTAATATTTTTGTTAATCAGTTCCTACAAAATGCTGTTTTAATTTATATGGCATATTTCAAACCGATTATATTCATTAATAGAAATATGATTTTTTACTTTGCCACAATGAATCATGAATTAAATGTAAATAAGTTAATTAAGTATGGTAGAAAAAAAAGTAATTTTCATTTATCATGAGTGTAATCGAGTGATTGGTTAGTTGCCATGTTAGCGTAGCTGTGGTTAAACTGTTATTATTATTATCATACCATGCACCCTTGTAGGAGTGGGGCGCGCGAAGTAAGTATGGCAGCAAGTGGGAGCTGCGCTGGTGCTCTACTGTGGGGTGTGATTATGGGAAGGGAAAGACAATTGCTGTAGGGGTGAAGGGGGAGGGAGGGGGAGTACAGTAGGGGGTGAGGGTGAGAATACCTGCGACCCACAACACACAGGCTCTCATCACTCCCAGTCTTGCTGGAGAATCTTCTCATTTGCTGACCTTCAAGAACACTAGTTTAAAAAATATATCAAACTGAATATGTGATTGTGTGTGTGTGTGTGTGTGTGAATAAATGTATATAATATGTACAGTACTCTGTACAGTACATATGTATGTACATTGCAGACCCAAAACACACACACACACGCACATGTACAGACACATACTGTATTTATATGTTAACAAATTTATATATGTCCCTTCACATGTGCATTTTTTTAATATAGTACTGTACTACAAAAATTAAGCTTAAAGTACTCATACTCTGAAGAAAAAAGAACAATTAATAAAATATCATTATTCTTTCACATAAAGTATTACATAAAAAATGAGTATTATTTCTCAGGCAAGTTGGGTCGAGCACGAGCCTGTGTTGACACTTGAGTTGGATCCCTGCACACTAAGCTTCTGTACATTTGTCTTTATTCTTCATTTCCTCTGCAGTTGTCTTGTAGTGATTGGTATGCAACCCATAGTAATATTCCCACTTACCTGTCCCTTACTTGTGGGGGCTCGGACAAGATGTCACCGCCCTTCTGCTCTGATGGCACTATACTTGCCCGTTTGTTCAGTGCTCATAGTAGAGTGCAGTGATTTAGTTGATCATTTAATCAACAAGATGGGTGGGATTACTATAGAAACGTAGACAGTATTTGAGATTTATTTTGTATCTTATCGAATGTTTTAAAAAGGTGCACAAGTTGCATAGTTTTTCATATTACTGTATTGTAAATTTATTGTCTTAGATGTAGTTTGTTAATTACTTAGAATAAATTTGTAATGCATCCAATTGGAATTTACCAAAATTTATTACCTTTCCTAACATTAGTAAGAATTGTTATTTTAAACAGTAAATATCTTAATAAGAAATGAGGAGAATTAGTGACATCTTGTCTTCAAGTTGTGCTACCCATGTATTTCTAATACACTTTATGGAGTGAATTAGATGATTGTAGAATGTATGGTTATATCTAAATAATTTGATTAATATTTCTAACATGTATATTTTGACTATATATAATCATTATATTTGATTGAAAAAATCACATAAGAATATAGAGGGTATATTTATGGTTTTAACTATTATTTATGTATATATTAAAAAGCTGACGATTTATTACATTAGTAGCACAGCAATAACCTGGCCCATCTCAGAGACAAGCCTTGTAAACAAAACAGCTTATGACAAGCTGTCATGCAGCAAACTTGACATAAACCTTTCACTAACATTCCATCCTTAATTCCAATGCTTTGACCCTTAGTATTGTCACCTTATTTAATGAATGGGGACAGTCATGGCAGTTCCATTTTGCCGTCTCAAAAATATTCCCTCGTGGCTGTGTTGGATGTCAGCTTTATGCACTTAATTTCTCACAGTTGTAATTGGTGTCATTGCTACTGCCCACAGAGAAGCAGAAGCCGTGAGAAGTCTCGCAAGAGGCCGCATCACCGTGCAGAGAGGTGAGCTCCAAATACTCCTCTACATCTTTCCCAGGACAAACTGCTTTTAAACTGACTTTATTTATCACTGAAACAGACTTTTAGACAATGCATTTTTATTGGAAATTACAAAAATAAAACTAAGTACAGTATAATTATAAATATCAGTTTATATGAGTGCATTACCTTGTTAAAAAATTACTGAAATATTCATTGGAGGATTGTGTTAGTTGTTAAGTACTCTACTGCAAATTGTCATAAATACTCATATTTCTGTAATGAGACTGATCCTTGGAAAGTTGCATTTTCTGTAAATGCCCTGCATGTACTAATATTATGGGCTATTAACATCATCACTATTGAAATGTAATGATTTTTGTTTTATGTAATGATTATGTCTGAGCAAAATTACTTTGAAAAGGAAGATATTTTGCTGAAAATAAAATTATTTTTTATTTTTGTTAATTATTTATACAGTATTTCAGTTTGGTAGACGATTGGAAGAAACTAAGTGATTAGTGAAGGGGACTGAAGACCACTAAATGTTTTCAAAGTTTAGTTTCTAACAGATATGAGAAGATTAAATACTACACAAAGTTTTAACTGCTAATATTTTTGTATGCTTGATACTTGTAGTAGTTTTTGGCGTTCCTTGAAGACGGTATTTTCTCGGACAGCCCACAAATATGTTTAAAGTCACACAATATGTAAATAAACATCAACTCTTAACATCTGCACAGGTAGTCTATGCAGTTCATACTTGGAACTCGTTAGTAATTGTCATGCCTTCAATATCAAATTTCCAAACAAGAAAGTCTTCTATTTCTCCTTGAAAGAGGTCACAGTTTCAGTGTGTTTGATATAATTCAGCAGCCCGCTGTACTGTCTAGGAGCACAGTAGGGAAAATCTCTGATATTGTACCAGTTATCTTAAATGCCCGGGGGCTCCGATATTCTAAATTCATCCAGCCTTATTTGTATTGTTGTAGTAATCGCAAATTACTCGATTATATCGATCAAGTACAGTACATTGGTGTTCCAGTAGTCACTGCTATGTATGTCAACACAGAGCTTAAACAGCATTCTGGCTTTACCAGGCAGCCAATGGAAGTCAAATTAGTGTGGGTAATATAGTCCCATGATGACATACCTGTTAAGTCTTGCAGCTCTATTGAAAATAACTTAGTTTCTTTAGCAGATAGTTTGGTAGACTGTAGTACATGTATAATGAATTACAATACAGTAGCCTAACCTACTTGTGAAGAAGTTATTTATCAGTTTTTTTTATTGATTCTTCATTAAAGTATTTCCAGATAAATGCAGGTAAATGATAAATGCCTCGAGTTATAATTGGCCAGTTATTACATTATTGATTTGGTTATGAAGTGTGAGACTGACCAATAATACCTTCCAGTCCTTTACTTTTTAATTAATAAAACTTGACTATATCTTGTGTAAATCATCTTTGGCATCCCTAGGATAGCTATGTCACGCTTGGAACCAACAATTATATACTGTGTCATGATTTGATGTTTTTAATGTTTTCATGTTTTATCGAGATTTGACTTCAGTTTTTCATTTTCATTCAGTTTCCAATATCACTAAAAACTATATTGATGACATTCAGTACATCATTAATATCCTCAAACAGAAAGTAAAACTGCATATCAGCAAAGACCTTAACTTGCACATTGTGCCTTTTTAACAACCCTGAAATATTGATAGTATATACTAAAGCAATAGGCCAAACACACTGCCCTGTGGAACACCTCTAGTAAGTGGTTTAATTGTTGATACTTTAGCACTTATTCACGAAGCATGATCTATCTGAGGGAGAACTGGCAAGTCTTCAATGAGAATTTCATGAAGTACTATATCAAATGTATAAGCTATGTACCAAATAATCCATTCCCAGCTAAATTTGGAGAAGAGCAGATACAGTATATATATTAACAAGACAAGAAAGCAATGAATGTATCGACATTTCTGGTTGCGTAAATCGACGCAATAAATGTAGTCTTTTTATTCCCCATGACTGATGAACTATAGAGATAGTAATATTATGTCGTATTATACCACATTATTATAGTACAGTAGAGCATAAAGGGTCAATATTGTTTTGAACATTGTTACAGTACAAATATCAATTTTCTTAGTGTAGTTTTGTATTTTTAGTCTTGTAGACCATTAGGCATACATTCAGTAGTTAAAATTCCATTTTGTACATGAATTTAAGTTAATAGATTGTATTATCTTTGGGTTTAGTTGTGAAAGGAAAATATTTTCCTTTCCTTTTAATTTTTTTTATTTTGTACAACATAATGGTTTCTGCTGTTGTAATTTATAGTAAATAAAATTATGCATACTTCTTAGTTTTTCTTTTTCTTTTTTCCTTAGATATTTTGTTGCACAATATTTTCTGATTTATAGTACAGTATATTCTTTACAAAAGTTATTCTTATTGTGAACCCAGATTTTAAGGTGTACAGAGTCATCCAGTATTTTGTGTATTTATCAGCTCTCCAGAGGCTCCACGATCACGTACGAAGCAGCTGCAGCACAGCTCAGATGTTGAATCCTCATCTGACAAACGATCTGCACGACACCAAGATGCTTTATCCTCAAATCAGATATGTAAAACTAGCCCAAAGGATGGTAGCAAGGGAAGAGAGAGTCACAGAGAGAAGGAATGTGACAAGCAAGATGAAAATCAGTGCAATATGTCTGTGTCACAAGACAGAGAACAAAACCAAGATAGAAATAAGCAGAAGAGCAGGAGCAGAAGCAGAAATAGAAGTGGGGAGCAGAAGCAAGAGTCCCCTTGGAGGATATCAGTACCAGGCTCGGCACATGAAAGTGAGGGTACTGGGACTGTTAATAAGTTGGACATCACAGGTAACATGAAGCATATCATTAGTGACATGAGCTGTTCTCCTTTGCCTTGTCAGCAACCAAGAAATACTGCAGTAGCAGAATCATCCAAGGTGAGCTGTCTATCACGCTCTGCCAGCAAGTCTCCAGTTAGGGTTTCTCCAAACCAGGATATGCTTGATTGTATCAGAATGAGCCTTACAAGTTGTGGGTCTATTCCCTTACCTAAAGCAGGTAGCCCAAGCAAAACCTTAGGAGAGAAAAACAGCCCTAAATGGAGTCAGATTCAGTCTTTATCATCTAAGATATTAGACATGAATGACACCCTCAAAAGATCAAGTGAAACCTCCAACTTACTTGGTAGTGGATCTCAAGATGTGCCATGTCTCCCACAGAATGGTCGTCACATTGGTGGCCCCATAGCAAGCAAATCACCAGTACCACATTCAAGGTAAGCAAACTTGAAATTTTGTTATAGATGATTGTTGCACATGATAAAATTTAATTTTTATTTAGATTCTCGCCTTATCCACAGTGTTAAAGTATATCAAAGTCTGTAAGATGTGAAAAGAGAAGTGGGTAATCAGTTTAAATGCCTAAATATGAGTAATTTATAAGAAGGATTTGCACAATCCAAGTGAAAGTAAAGTGTCAGGAAAAAAAAGGCTTTTATTTTAAAGTTTCTGCAAATATTGCATGGAATGCGATATCTATAAAAGAAAGATAGGAATACTTGTACAGTATATGAAACCATAGAGCTGCAGGAAGGATTTCTAGTTATGTCCCTTGTTTACAGATGCAAGACAATGGGGTGTGATATGAAGATAAAAAATCAAGAATTAGAGGAATAGAAATGAACATTGAGATGCATGTATAGTGTTAGCAGAATATAGTAAGACTGAAGAGAGCATTCCGAGATATATTGGGCACATTGAACAAATGGATGCAAGTAGACAGATGGAATGAATGAGTTTGAGAATAGGAGTGGAAGGTCAGGAAGATGATGGGCAGACATGGTCAGTGAGTTTGTGAGGAAGCAGGATTGAGTGTGAGCAGTATATGGGATATAGAATGGGATAAGGTTGGGTGGAAACAGGTTGTAAGGAGGAAGAGTGTATTTGAGGACTTGTAATATATGTAACAATTTGCAAGGAGCTCTGTACACTGTCTTATGAAGTGGTGGTGTGTGTTGCTGTGGATGACAGCTGAAGTGTAGTATTGCTTCTTTATCCATGATGCTATATATTATAATGGTATAATGAATAGATAAGTTATATTTTATTTGTTATTGTCTGTAATCATTTGCTATATTATTCCCCATTTGTCCCTGGGCTGATGCTTCGCCACCCCTTGGAAGTGAGAATATTATGATAATAAATAAATGGAAAAAATGTTGTCAATAGATTTATGTGCATGCCCCATTTTATTAATCAAGAAGAGATTTGATAAATGGGTGTGGACAAGATAAACAGTAGACAGTAATAGATCTGTCGGATGCAAGTCATTTCCAAGAGTTCTTGAAAGCATAACCCAGTGTCATGTCATTTGTAATGAGTCATGTTGTATACCAAGGTTAACGGCAGGTTTTCTGGACACTAGCTTATGCTGTAGTTGATTTTAAAGCAAAGAAAGACTGTATAGTAATGCCAAACAACAAAATATGTGTTTAAATTCATCAGTCAATTTTCCAGGGAGGCTTATGGGTGGGATAAGGTTGTGTGTGTGTGTAATGAGGGGAGCGGGGTGCATGGCTGGGAGACCAGGTAGCTTGTAATACAGTATAGTAATGTAACATTAAAACTATACGAGTTAGTGTGCATGTGTGGTTGAGGGTATGTGTGGAGGTGAGCTTATTGTATGTATGAGCACACATTTAAACAAAGCAATGAAAACATATTTGTCAGAATAAACTGGGGCTCCACCACCATCCAGTGCAATGTGTCTCGATCAAACTGAGATTTTTAATTACAGTGGTGTGACGGCAACATCGCCAGCACATATTAGATATTCAAGAAGTTCCAGTAGAGGCAGATCTTCATCTCGCAGCACCCGCAGCTCTCGCTCGCGTTCCTCATCACGCTCACACTCACCTTCGGCAAGATCCCACTCACCTTCACTACGCTCACGTTCTCCTACTTCAAGATCCAGGTCTCCCAGGTACTGTATATCAACAATGAAAACGGTTACAGTAATCCCGTTCATAAAGGTGATTTATTGGTAGATTTGATCTATGAGAAAATGGTGAGAAACAATCGTGTAATGGTAGTTTTGGTCCTGGTTTTGTAATCATAGTTCTACTATTGCATAATGCTACTGAGAGTATAGTGCAGTTTCAATAGAGTGGTCCTGTTCCAAACTCTCAAGGTTTTTGTTTCTGCAAGTTTTTTACCAAGTTATTTTTTTTCAAATGATACATCATTGTGCCACGTGGACGTTGATCCTCGTTGCATAAAGATAAGTGCAAGGTAAGAGTATGAGCATTCATATTCATACTTGGCTCATTTGCTAAATGAGCAAATATAATGAGGTGATAAAAATGCTAATACTATTAAAATTACACATGCTGTCATGCCTTAAGTACTGCTAGATACTCATTTTCACCTTCAGAGCAGGAGAGGGCTGCAATAGAGGAATACAGAGAACATATACAGCACGCATAGACATGATAAAACACCTAAAGTATTGGGCTCGTCTCAAAGCTTTCAAAGCGTATTCTCTAGAAAGGATATGAGAAAGGTACCAAATTATATATACAGGGGTACCTCGGTTTAAGAGTTTAATCCGTTCCTGGAGACAGCTCGTAATACAAAAACTTGTAAACCGAAGCTAATTTCCCCGTAAGAAATAATGAGAAGTAAATTAATCCGTTCCCGACTACCCAAAAACCTTACATCAAACTAAATTTTATACCTAATTCATCGAAATCTACACTACATAACTATGTTCAAGTTATTACTTACCCTTGCTGATGACTGCTGTTGGCATATGGAAGATGGTGAGGAGGGGGGGGGGTGAGGAGGAGAGGTGTTACTGTTTGGAAGGGGAGTCCCCCTTCCATTATGCCATCAGGCAGTGAGGACCTTTCTGGAGTGCATTCTCTGGCATATTTTGCCTGCATACCACTAGGATGTGCTTGTGGCTCACTGCTTGCTTGTCTTACTAAGAAACTGTCAAAAGACATTTGTTTTTCCCTACATTTTAACACTTGTATGTAGTAGGACATCACATTGTCATTTAAAAGGTCAATGCAATGGCCTGCTACAGCTTTATCTGGGTGAGTTTTTTCTACAAAACTTTGCAGTTCTTCCCATATTTCACACATTTCCTTAATGAGGAAGGGACATCCTCTACTGCCTCTACTCACAACTATTTTCTTAGGTTGAACCTTACCACTGGCTTTCTTGGGACCCATTGCGAGATATATAATAACAACTTTTATGCTGAAATGGTAAAAAATCCAACAAAACACTGTAAATCCTGGTGAAGAATTCAGGCAGGATAGTCACTGGGTGTGGGGCACTGGTAAACTGAGGGGCAATTGCCGTGCCACCATGCGCTAGGTCAGCCTGTACGCGTATCAACACCCTCATATTCCGAGGCAACGGTTGTATTCCGAGGTAAATTTTCCGAGCAAATCCTGCTCGTAATCCAAAAAACTCATAAACAGGGATGCTCGTAATCCGAGGTACCACTGTACAGTGGAACCTTGAGTGACGAGCGGCTCCAGTTACGAGCATTTCAAGTAACAAGCAAGCCACTCACAGAAAATGTCTCGACTTACGAGCTTTCGCTCGATTAACGAGCGTTCCCGCTAGTTCTCAGACACCTCAGACGACAGTTTTGTAGTTGTTTTGCAAGACAAGCTTTCCACATGACGAGGTCGGTGCTGGAACGGATTAAACTTATTAATCGAGGTGCCACTGTACGGTACATGGAAAATACTGGAAGACCAGGTCCCTAATTTGCAGATTAAAATAACAATATACAGGAGTGAACAATATGGAAAAAATGCAGAACAGAGCCAGTAAAGAGTACAGGTGTCATAGGCATAATCGGAGAAGACTGATGAAACATTTCAGCTCCATGGTTGTTCAATATCCTCATAGCAAATATAAGAAATATTTCTAGAACAAAGTTGTAAGTTTTCAAAAAAAAAAAAAAGCTGGATAGTTTTCTTTTGCCAGTTGGTCTGGCAAGAATTGCCAGTTGGTCTGGCAAGAATTGCCAGTTGGTCTGGCAAGAACTGCCAGTTGGTCTGGCAAGAATTGCCAGTTGGTCTGGCAAGAATTGCCAGTTGGTCTGGCAAGAAGTGCCAGTTGGTCTGGCTGCCAGTTGGTCTGGCAAGAACTGCCAGTTGGTCTGGCAAGAACTGCCAGTTGGTCTGGCAAGAACTGCCAGTTGGTCTGGCAAGAACTGCCAGTTGGTCTGGCAAGAATTGCCAGTTGGTCTGGCAAGAACTGCCAGTTGGTCTGGCAAGAATTGCCAGTTGGTCTGGCAAGAACTGCCAGTTGGTCTGGCAAGAACTGCCAGTTGGTCTGGCAAGAACTGCCAGTTGGTCTGGCAAGAACTGCCAGTTGGTCTGGCAAGAACTGCCAGTTGGTCTGGCAAGAACTGCCAGTTGGTCTGGCAAGAACTGCCAGTTGGTCTGGCAAGAACTGCCAGTTGGTCTGGCAAGAACTGCCAGTTGGTCTGGCAAGAACTGCCAGTTGGTCTGGCAAGAACTGCCAGTTGGTCTGGCAAGAACTGCCAGTTGGTCTGGCAAGAACTGCCAGTTGGTCTGGCAAGAACTGCCAGTTGGTCTGGCAAGAACTGCCAGTTGGTCTGGCAAGAACTGCCAGTTGGTCTGGCAAGAACTGCCAGTTGGTCTGGCAAGAACTGCCAGTTGGTCTGGCAAGAACTGCCAGATCAACTGGGCTGTAGTGGATATGTGGGCCTGCTGCTGCTCCAAGCACCAAGCAACAGCCTGTTAGATCACACACTCACAAGTCGGGGTCAGGTGTGGGGAGTAGAACTCCCAGAACCCCATCCATGTACAGTCCAAGTAGATGATATGCATATAGACAAGTGGTGGCAATAAACACAACGAGGGGCAGCAGCAGCATGTTATGAAGGATATGAATGATTAATAGTAATTGTTACACTCCATGTGCAGTACTTTAAAGTGTGTTCATTAAGAAAATGAAATAATAATGTGGTTATTTTGCTGCTGCCAGATGTTGGGTTGGGTATGAAAGGTTGGGGTGTCATTACACCAGCCCATCCTCCTGTTTTGGTACTGATAGTAACGATGAGGACCATAGTATATATACACACCAATGTACGTACAACACAATTAAAAAGTTGAACACTGTACTATTGCATTGGACAAACCCGGAAAACTATTTTCTACTTTTGTTGCAAATACAAACTAAACTAACCTAACCTAATCTTCCTAGGCCTAATACACAATGTGAGGTTATACTAGGCCTAGGAATATTTAAATTTGTTTTTTAGGTTCATTTTTTCTGACTATAAAGTTAATAGTACAAAGTTCTACTATCTAATTGCATAGAATGGCAATCTATATACTATGGTGCATATAGTTACAAAAACTACTATCTAAACAGGAGAATGGGTTGCATTATGCATGTGCTTTTATCTTGCTACAACTAAATTTGAATACAGTACTTCAAATATGTGCCCAAATCTTGCAGTGATTTGGTTTGTCCCCCCCCCCCCCCCCCCAAGAAAAAAAAGCTATTAGATGCTTCCAAAAACTGCAGGAATGTTGACAAGTATTTATCCTGAATGATGACACCAATGACAAATGATTGCATCCAGATCTGTAAAACTGGTATGGCATGATGAAACATTTGAATCATACCTTGTTCAATTTTGATTTAGCTTCCTCTGTAACAAGTTTTGGTAACTGGAATGTGTGTTCAGAGATAAGAAGGGCTTGCACATGCTAACAAATGTTCATATGGAGACGCTCCATGTTACTTTTCACAACCATGTCACTCGTTTCCGTTTCTTAGGTATTTTGCAGCCGACTATAAAATGTACAATCTTGGAAGACAATGGCATTATGATAAGTTAAATTTCCTATACCTATACTTTATAAACTTTTGCGCATTTATACATGAACATGTGGAAATTTGCATATTGAAATACTGCTCTTATCTTGGGATGAGATCCAAAAATTGGAAATCAAAGCTAGTAGTTAAATTGCTTGCATTTTATGTTCTGGGTGATTGAATCTGTTGAGTTGAGTACAATAGTTAGTATTCAACAAATCTGGGCTTTGTAGAAATGCCCAAGAATAACGAGGTGTTGGTGAAAGTTCACTAAAAATCTGTGATTTCATCATGGCAGTAAACATCTTTTGCACTGAAGTTTCTAGTTTTGTATACCCACAACAAAATATTAATTAGATATGACATTTTATTGATAAAAATTTCTGGCAGTTCTTATGACAATGATATTTAGTGTTGTATTTGCAACAGAATTTGTATTTATGTTGATTTTCATCGAAATTATAAAGAATACTGTAATATCAGTGTTAAAATTTCATATTTTTGTATACTGTACATTCCTGGTGGAAGCCCTGTCAGCTCCCCGGAGCTATCCAGGCTGATATGGATATGTTAGATTTCTGGCATCGGTCAAAGTGCATGGAGTTCGGCCTACCAGGGACCACGAGCCAGAACCTGGCCCCCTGAGATGAGGCACCAGAAGCAATGGCCTATAGAAACTCCCGTGTGGTTGGGAACATTCTATGTCTCCCATCGACCAGGTTAGGCACCCAGAAAGGTAGGCGCCCCAAAACAAACCCCTATTCTTGTGAAAATATTGCTACCGAAAGCCGAATGAGTGAACAGAACTACCCCAAATGAAAATTAGCAAACTAACATGACTTCATCACATTGCTGCACCGCTGTCTGCGGAACCCCCCCCACCCCCCCTTCCCTGGGAGGGGAAAGGGGAAGCCCCCAACCCTTGCACTGGTGATCCACCCTTCAGCCCTTGCAGCTTACCTCCTGCGCAACCCGAATTGTGTATTCATAATGGATCTGCATTCCTTCGTGTTTGGATCTTCTTGTCTTTACTGGGTTTGTTATGAAGTTCCGGAGTCATCCTGGTTAGCAGACTGCCCTATCTTCTCGTTGGAAGCTTGG